CTCCCTCTCCCTCTTTCTCCTTTCTCCTTCTCCCTCTCCCTCTCTCTCTCCTTCTCCCTCTCTCTCTTTCTCTCCCTCTCTCTCCTTCTCCCTCTCCCTCTCTCTCCTTCTCCCTCTCCCTCTCTCTCCTTTCTTCCCTCTCCCTCTCTCTCCTTTCTCCCTCTCCCTCTCTCTCCTTTCTCCCCTCTCCCTCTCTCCTTTCTCCCTCTCCCTCTCTCTCCTTTCTCCCTCTCTCTCCCTTCTCCTTCTCCCTCTCTCTCTTCCCTTTCTCCCTCTCTCTCTTTTCTCCCTTCTCCCTTCTCCCCTCTCGTTTCTCCCTCTCCCTCTCTTCGTTTCTCCTCTCCCTTCTCTCTCGTTTCTCCCTTCTCCCCTCTCTCTTCCTTTCTCCCTTCCCTCTCTCTCCTTTCTCCCTCTCTCTCCTTTCTCCCTCTCTCTCCTTTCTCCCTCTCTCTCCTTTCTCCCTCTCTCTCCTTTCTCCCTCTCTCTCCTTCTCCCCCTCTCTCCTTTCTCCCTTCTCCCTTCTCCCTTCTCCCTCTCTCTCCTTTCTCCACCTCCCTCTCCCTCTCTCTCTCTCCTTTCTCCACCTCCCTCTCCTCTCTCTCTCTCTCCTTTCTCCCCCCTCCTTCTCCCTCTCTCTCCTTTCTCCCCTCCTTCTCCCTCTCTCTCCTTTCTCTCCTTCTCCTCTCTCTCCTTTCTCTCCCTTCTCCTTTCTCCCTCTCTCTCCTTTCTCCTCCTCCTTCTCCCTCTCTCTCCTTTCTCCTCCTCCTTCTCCCTCTCTCTCCTTTCTCCTCCTCCTTCTCCCTCTCTCTCCTTCTCCTCCTCCTTCTCCCTCCTTCTCTCTTTCTCCTCTCCTTTCTCCCTCTCTCCTTTCTCCTCCTCCTTCTCCCTCTCTCTCCTTTCTCCTCTCCTTCTCCCTCTCTCTCCTTTTCTCCTCCTCTTCTCCCTCTCTCTCTCCTTTCTCCTCCTCCTTCTCCCTCTCTCTCCTTTCTCTCCTCCTTCTCCCTCTTCTCTTTCTCCTCCTCCTTCTCCCTCTCTCTCCGTTTTCTCCTCCTCCTTCTCCCCTCTCTCTCCTTTCTCTCCTCCTTCCCTCTCTCTCTCCTTTCTCCTCCTCCTTCTCCCCTCTCTCTCCTTCTCCTCCTCCCTCTTCCCTCTCCCTCTCCCCTCTCTCTCCTTTCTCCCTCTCCCCTCTCTCTCCTTTCTCCCTTCTCCCCCCTCTCTCTTTCTCCCTCTCTCCCTCTCTCTCTCCTTTCTCCCTCTCTCTCTCCTTTCTCCCTCTCTCTCTTCTTTTTCCCTCTCCCTCTCTCTTCTTTTTCCCTCTCCCTCTCTCTCCTTTCTCCCTCTCCCTCTCTTTCCTTTCTCCCTCTCCCTCTCCCTCTCCTCTCCCTCTCTCTCTCTCTCTCTCTCCCTCTCCCTCTCCCTTCTCCTCTCCCTCTCCCCTCTCCCTCTCCCTCTCCCTCTCCCTCTCCCTCTCCCTCTCTCTCTCCTCTCTCTCTCTCCTCTCTCTCTCTCTCTCTCTCTCTCTCTCTCTCTCTCTCTCTCTCTCTCTCCTTTCTCTCTCTCTCTCTCTCTCTCTCTCTCTCTCTCCTTTCTCCCTCTCTCTCTCTCTCTCTCCTTTCTCCCTCTCTCTCTCCTTTCTCCCTCTCTCTCTCCTTTCTCCTCTCTCTCTCTCCTTTCTCCCACTCTCTCTCCTTTCTCCCTCTCTCTCTCCTTTCTCCTCTTCTCTCTTTCTCCCCTCCCTCTCTCCTCTCCCTCTCCTTTCTCCACCTCCCTCTCCTCTCTCTCCTTTCTCCACCTCCTTCTCCCTCTCTCTCCTTTCTCCCCCTCCTTCTCCCTCTCTCTCCTTTCTCCCCCTCCTCCCTCTCTCTCCTTTCTCCCCTCCTTCTCCCTCTCTCTCCTTTCTCCTCCTCCTTCTCCCTCTCTCTCCTTTCTCCTCCTCCTTCTCCCTCTCTCTCCTTTCTCCTCCTCCTTCTCCCTCTCTCTCCTTTCTCCTCCTCCTTCTCCCTCTCTCTCCTTTCTCCTCCTTCTCCCTCTCTCTCCTTTCTCTCCTCCTTCTCCCTCTCTCTCCTTCTTTCCTCCTTCTCCCTCTCTCTCCTTTCTCCTCCTCCTTCCCCTCTTCTCCTTTCCCTCCTCCTTCTCCCTCTCTCTCCTTTCTCCCCCTCCGTCTCCCTCTCTTTTCTCCCTCCTCTATCTTGTTCCTTTCTTCTTCCTTTACTCTCCCATCTCTTTTTCTCACTCCTTCCTCTCATCTGTCTTCCTGTTCATCTTATTGAAAATGTGATATCTGATACCCTGGCAACTAGCATTGTACAGACTGGCTGAGGTCACGACCAAGTCTCTCTTTTTTTAACATCAGACTTTGAATGAATTTAAGTTTTGAAATGTTCATCTCCTGTAATTGTGTACATTTTCATCTTTGTAAGATTTATCATTTTTTTATCCTTACTTTTTTAGTATCGCTGTCATTCTTGTCATTATTATTTATTATGTTAATGATAATGAAGATATTTATATAGTTTTTAGGGATTTATATAGTTTATAGCAGCTTGATGCTTTTTAGACATGAAAGATATCCATGGCTTTTTCCTTCTGAAGAAATGCAACTCTCCAGACTGGAAGATCAGTACTCGAGCCACAACACTGCTGGAACTGGTTTTTGGAGTGCTCAGTTACAAGCAACTCCAATAAGAATTTGTGACATGACATATTGTTTTGATTGTTTATCATTTTTTGTTTATATAGATTTATACTTTTTTATCTTGCCTTTGATATTGTTTGGTTTTCACTTTTGTTAGTCTTTTTTTTTTTGTCTTTTGTCTTTTATAAATGTATGTAAAGTCTGCGTAGATTATATTAGTTTCCACAGTCTTATAAATAAATGTAGGTGTCTGGTAAACTCTCTATTATCAGGTTTGACATGCCCTTTTGTTGAGCATGGTTCTTGCTGCCAGGTCCTGTTGGGATGCAAGTGTATTGAGCAAGAGCATGGTAGTATACTACAGTCTTTTATTCTCAGAACTTCACACTTACAGCCATTATAATATTTTTTAATGGAGAGATTGATTCACCGTGTGAGTTTGGAAAGCAGGTGTCTGCTTGGGCTTGTGTATAAGAAAATTATGCTTACTTTTTCCTGTTATAAGTTACTAATGTAGGTGCATATCTATAGGTAACATTTGAGTAAAAGTGTACAAGTGTGTTTGCATATTTATGTGTATGAATTGTTAAGAAGTATTAATTTTTCATGTGTATTAGTGAGTGAGTATTATCTTCATTTATATATGTGCTAGACATAGAGACTGAGGTAGAAAAATAGAGAAAAAGTATGGATGAGAATGTTATTTCATTCAAGTTTTATATAATTTCTTGGATGATTTTCGATGACCTGGCTCATTCTCAGTTACTATTCAACAGGTGAAAACTACAGCTCCTCGACGGTACTGTGTTCGGCCAAATTCTGGGTTGGTAGAGCCTCATGGTGCTGTCAGTGTGGCGGTGATGCTCCAGCCATTTGAATATGATCCACACGAAAAGAACAAACACAAGTTTATGGTGCAAAGTCTATTTGCTCCAGAAGGAGAAGTCAACCTTGATCTGTTGGTGAGTTTATGCTGCTTGAGTTTAGTATCTTTGTTGATTATATTCATTGGAATTTGAACCTAAAGACATTTTTAGTGGGGTGGGGGGGATGATGCTAGATAGGAGCTTGCGCTCTGATTTTGTCGCCCGTGACGGGCGGCGGGAGGGTTGGTTCCCGTACTGGCCTGCCCGGAAACTATTATTTTTGGCTTGAAAATGTACCCGCGCTAGTGGGTTAACAAAAAATTTTATAGGCACATATTTCCTTTTTAGGTATAGTATAAGTGGATTGATTTCTTTTTTTTTTTTTTTTTTTTTTTTTTTTTTTGAAGTAAACATCAGAAATCTTTGCAAGAATATGTATTACAGGAGTGTTTTTTAATTGTTTATTATGATTCTGTTTTCCTTAATTTTTGCAGTCCATTAACCTGTTCACAACTTTTCATTTTCAGCATAAATTTGTCATGTTGGATGTTCAGGTTTACATCATTTGAGGGGTGATTCCTCTGATCATGCAGCATGTTTCAGAATAAATTTTGGGTATTAAGATTACAAGGATTAGAGGAGGTGGTTTTGGAATGTCATAGAAAATGTAACTCGCTCCGTAGCCAGCTGCTTACTTGAAATGGTTTCCCTTTTGATTTTCATTGAATGTGAGCATTTCTCAAGCAGAGTGTTTAGGGAGCAGTAATCATAACAAGATCAGAGGTGTTCTAGTGTTCATGTGGGAATATTAATATATGTGTAGCTTCCTTGTGATTTTTTTTCATTTGCATGTGTACATATATAGATATATAGATATATATATATATAATTTTTTTTTGTTACCAATTTTGTTAAATTCCAGTTCAAGGAAGCTGACCAGAGTCAGTTGATGGATTCAAAACTAAGGTGCGTATTTGAATTACCAATGGATGCAACACAAGCACCACAGAATAACATTGATGCCGCGCCTGCAGCTCAGCCACAAGTTGAAGTTCCCAAGCCCTCTCCTAAGGTGAGTTGTAAAGCTATGTAACCTTTTTATTATTTAAATACATATACAGCCATTCTTGACTTATGCACAAGACCGATTCTAACTACCAGACCAAATCTTGAGGTAGATGTAGTATATGCTGTGTGCAGTGAGTATCATGAAAGAAAAACTGCGTGAAAGAGATATGTGACATAACTTCACATTATGTGAGTGCTTCAGCAATGAGAGCAAGTGTCATTCACCCATCTGTATCTTTAACCCCTTTGAACTGGTAGACATAACCATTATGTCTTGAAAAAAATTGGCTTGATGATGTGAACATGCTGTCATGGAAAAATTTGGCGAAGAGCTGGGGTGAGGATAACATGCTATCAATAACTATTTCGGCTGAAGGTTGGAGTGATGATAATGATGCCTTACGAATGCTCAAACCTCTTGGAGGCTGATTAGACTCGATAGGCATTTAGGAAGAGGGTCTTGCATTATTTCCATCAGTAAATGAGTGGAATGTACTGTTCATGAGCCAAGTCTGGAGGAGCACCAGCTCCAGGAAGGACACTATTTCCATGTTCAGGGTCCTATTTCTGCCTGCTGTGATTGGCGAGGCAGGTTGTATTACAGTAGTCTTGACACTGCACAGAGGTGTTTGTGTGCACCTGGCAGACAAGCCACACACCAGCCCGGATTTTAGGTCATTTGTGGGTAGTATTTGAGCCAGATCCAAGGGATTAATACATAGTATGTAGAGTATATTTATTAACCCAATCATGCCAGGTGTCCCATATCTGAGACACCCGGAAAAAAAACACTCCGCGCGTCCTGCCAGTGTGACGCTGTGTTAGGGTCGCGCTCTGGCTCAGCAGCGGGCCACAGCCGGCGGGCGAACAGACTACGAGGACAAATACCCATGAGCAGTGACAAGACTGTGCCTCCCCATTGCAAAGTTATTTTGTCTAAACTCTCCTAGCTTTATTGCCATTTTCCAATATCCATATTTGTCTTTTGATCATATCTCTATGTAGTAAATTACTCAGTGCAAGAAAAATAAAATGTGGAACATTTGATTGCTTGTGTAATATATCTAATTTTTTATTTTATTTTACATAATACAACCTGCGCCGCTGGTCTCAGCGGCCAGGAATATGGTGTGCAGCATAGAAATGGTGTCTTCCCAGGAGCCGGCGCTCTTCCAGTCACTGCTTAGACACGTTACATTCCACATTCATTTATCAATGGGAATAATGCTAAAACCCCCTTCTAAGTGCCAAAGGAGTCAAATCACATTCCCAAGAGGTTTGTGCACTCGTGGCAAGTCTTTTCTGTTACCCTGGCCTTCGCTCTTGATGGCAGTTCATGTCACCCGGGCTGTGGCCAATTTGCCTTGTTGACGGCTTGTTCAAGTCACCCTGGCAACTACCCAAGTTTTTCCTTGACGTGACTGCAACATCATCCTGGTCCAAGGGGTTAATAGGGAAGATGCCAAAAAATTGATTAACTTCATGTAAGGGTTATTACTTAAGAAAAGGATGTATTCCAGTGTAATAAGTAAAATTGAAAGATTTTCATCGATCGGGATGTTTCTTAAGAAACGTAATTTTTAAAATGTAAGAGATGGTTTGGAAAATTTGTCTGATACTTTGAAAGTTTGCTATAGATTATGCTTCAATTTTATTGTATAGAGGCTATACCAAACAATTTTTTTTCTGGAGGAACACTGTTCCTATATTTATATCCTCTTTTTTTCTTTTGTTCAGGCCAATAACATTGAAGCGGAACTCAGGAAGGCTGGCGACGAAATTAAACGACTGCGAGAGGAAATTAGTGCACTTCGTCAAGAGAATCTTCAGCTTAAGGCAAGTGTTTATATAAATTTTACAGGTTTATTTTTATATGTATGGTGAAAAGGAGGTTGATGTTAACTTTCATCAAAATTGATTAATATTTTTTACTTGTCTTGTTATTTTGTGGATGAATGATGGTGTGAATTTTACTTTCAGTTATGTTACTGGCTTACTTCAGTAGATTTTGAAATTTTAAGAATATATTAAGTGTGTTGGTCATTACCTTCCTCTGTTGATATACTGTTGTCTTCCAGGAGGACTCCCTGAGGCAGCGCACACATGCCAGCAGCACAGGAGAGAAGAAGACAGTGGCTGCTAGCGTCATCCAGCATCATGATACGCAACAAGGCAACCCAATGATGCATTTGGTTGCTGCTCTCATCATCGCTCTTGTTGGCTATATTCTCGGCAAATTTATCCTTTGAAGAATTCCCAGTACCATTGCCCAGGATCACTAGGTAGCAATCGGCCATTTTTTCTCCCACAACCAACACACTAATTGCCCTCGTCAAACTTTTTTTGTAGGGCAGGTTCATCATTTGGTGGACTCTAGTTGCTAGCTGGGAATATTGGAATATTATTAGCTATCATCTATAGCTGTCTGCCTTCTTCAAATACGGAATAGCATTTGGCCTTGATTAATTTACCATAACAGTTTTTGATATTAAAATTTTTATTGAGTTAGATTGAAAAAAAATAAGCTGCCTTCAATTTGACAGTGTTTGAGACTCTGATGGAGTCTTAAGCACTTGGACAAATGTGTGGGGAAAAAAATCATAATGTAAAGAAACCCAGTTAGCTTGCTTTAATGTATATCACTTTCAGGCATTCTAGGCAGAAAGATTAATCAAGAGGAAATACAGCCTTTTTGAAACTTATTATGAAATATAAATTTGAATTTGTACATTTTGTCGTGGAATAATTTATTTAATACTGCATAGTCATACAACTTCGCATTATAAAAGATATCCCTTTCGTTTATGAAAATATTATACATTAGTTTTATATATATATGGAGTATGCAAAATAATGCAATTTTGGCCAGAAGCAAATAGCATTTGCATTTCATGATGCGTCACTTTTGCCTGTGATTAGTTATTAAACATTATGAAATATTCATGTGCTCTTTCAATATGTATCATTTAGCAATAGGTAAAGTATATGATGTCTTCTTTTGTTTGGTACAGAGGACAATTCTTTACCAGTGCGTTGTTTCACATCTTGAAGTTTAAAAGATATTTGGATTATTTTAATGTAAAATAGTAACTGTTATGCTGTAACATCCTTTAATAACATTTCCATAGCAGAACTTATAAAAGACTATTTTGTCAGATAAGCCTCTCTTGCTTTTTTTTATTTTATTTTTTTATGATTTATATATTTTTTTTTATGACTACCTTAGTTTATTATTTTAAACTCATTTATGATTAGTCATACTCTACACTTAGACTAACCCGTTTCACAGTGTATCACATTTAGCATACATACAATCGATACAATTTTTAATTTATTTCTCATGGAGGGGTTTTGATTTTTGTGGAATCACTTTACTCAGTACCCTTTTCTGGTCATTGGTATATATCAGCTATTCAGTCTAAGACAAAGTCCTGGTGAAGAGTCTCGTGCAAAGCTCTTCTCTCCCTTCCAGCCCCTTACCCTTATCCCTCCCTTACCTTAATCCTACTGGCCAAGGATATAAAGCAGTCCTGATAGTAACAGATTTATTAATCTATATAAGTGTTTGGATTCGATGGACAACTTGTTCTCGAGTCATGGTGGAGATCGGTTTGTTAGAGATTTACAGGGTTGACGCAGTAGAGGGCAACGTAGGAGTCATTCACTCAAGCGTAGATAGAAGTAGGTTTGAACCATAGCCTCCAGAGACATTCAAGGGACTTACACAAGTACTTCCCCACAGATGAGAATGTGGGGCTCCTCTCTCCAAGGGCAACTCATTGTAAGAATGTAGCTTACATACATATGAAAACCATGCAGCCCTTCATAAGGTGTGACTTGGCATTGTCTTACACTGAAGTTTGGTCTGACCAGTGATTTTCAGTCTGTACTTGGGTGAAACAGGTTAGAAATATTTATATGCATTTCTGAAGTTAGTCTATTAACAGGAAGTGGAATAGGGCTTAATTTCACTGGTCAGGTTACATTTTTGTAATGTTATTCCAGCTTAAAATACCTATATGAAAATTATGGTCTGTGTTAGGTTTGTCAATCCTTTTTTGTACATTACACTGTAGTATGCAAGAGCTGTTTGTACAAAAGGTGAAGTCTCCCCTTGTATATAAGTTGGTGTGATATGTTCTTGTCTTCAATCACATTTGTATTTTTTTTAAGTAAATTTCTTTGCTTCTTTCCCCACTGGTAGTTTATGTACATTACCCTCTTTATTCATTGTCAGTTACTAGTCAATTGTAAACATGTGTGGGTAAACTTCCATCAGTAATTTGGAAATGTTTGATAGCACTTAGTTATCATACTATAAAAATGCTTACAAGTTTCTTACATATGTGAACATTTTCTAGTAAACATTTGCTAGGTACACTTCCTTTGCACGAGACAGATGGAAGTCATTAGGGACAAGGGTCTGACTTAAAACTCAAATGCTTTGATTGGTGGAGCCATTGTGTTATAATGTTTACTGCTGCGTGTCTGCAACTAACTTTGGACAGTATAAAGGAGTATAGCCAGTGTATTTTTCACACTTGTTTGTAACACCACGGTGGTCAGTCCCGGGGTTTTGTACCCATGTGTACAGTGTGCAGCGTGTCATAATAAATATGTCACACCTTAATGTACTACTGAGTTTTATTCTGCCTAACATGCCTTTCATACCAAATTAGAGATCTCCCTCTTGTAACAAACTACTATTTCTTTTAAATCATCCCTTTCAACCATTTAAAATTTGTGTGCTCTATTAACCCATTTGTCCCAGGTGTCACATATATGAGACACCGGGAAAAATAAACAATGTCGGGCTGACTGCCAGTGCGATGCTGTCTCGGGGCTGCGCGCGGCCGGGCGGGCGGACAGACTCCGGGGAAGCTCTGCCCGCCAATTTTGTAGCCGCCCGGATTTTTTAAATTTTGGCTACAAAATGTACCCGGCGTGAGTGGGTTAACAATGAGAGGGTTAACCTTTGGAGTGGAAAGCACAGCTCAGGCTTTCGAGCACTTTTCTTTTCATCAGGTGATGTCCTTAATTTTGAATCTTATAATGATATTGAAAATAGGCATAACAATAATAACATTAATGATAAAAGAAATTTGTGTGTTTTACGGCGCTTCATGGGGAAGGACCAAGAAGGGTACTTGTACCTGCTGCAGGCTAAATATACACCAGCTTCTTTTGAAGAGAAAGAAGCCAATGTACTGTTTACAGTAATATAAGAGGATAACTAAAAAAATTCTTTAAAAGCTGCTGACTGTATTTGCAAATTGTAATTCCACTTTGTGAGCACTTTTTTATTGATTGTTGCAAGTAGTAACATCAGTGGACTAAGTTTGTGAATGAATTGCATAATGCAGATAGAGTATAAGGCTGTTTTACTGATTTTCAAATTTAATCCATTCAAGGTTGAGCCTGCTCTAGATTGTGCATACTAAACAGTTGTGTGCTCGGATGGACCTGCCTGTAATTATATAGGAGAAATATCCCTTCAAAAGTAGAGTTTAAGCTGCTTTTTATCCTCAGTACCTACAAAAGCATTTATGCCAAACCCAAGAATATAGAGAGCACGTTAATTTTGTTTCCTTTGCTTCTGATTTTCCCCTCAAGCAGTTGATTGTGTGCACCCTGACGTCTTGTTTGGTATGGTTTTGGGATCTTCCATCATTATTAGGTTAAAAGTTGGATAAAACTATTTACAACTTTTTTATTTGGTCACCAAGGCCTTAGTCAATATCTTAAAACCTGTATTTGTGTCTTCTCAATTCCATACGTACGTATCTCTGAAATTGGTGAAATGTGATGTTGAGTTTTATATGTAAGTATGAATGTGAGTCGAACATTCTAAAATATAAGCAAGATTTAAGAAAAATTTACGAGTTTTCTTTTTTCTTCATCAAACATGTATCTATAAGATATCCTAAGCACATTGACCATATTATAAACATATTTTTGCTTGATGTCTTACTATTGGCAATGAAATATAGATAGACCTAGTGGCTGCCTGACTACTTTATCTTAACTTTCATAAGTATTTTGTGATAAAGTAGGTTTCATTGAGTAATAATTCCCCAATAACACTCAATGAGTGTGTTATTGGAGGGGTCACATTTTAAGACTTTCTGTCATGCTCCTGTATATCTAACTGAAGCTGCTGCTATGTAGTGTCATCCAAAAAGCTTGACAGTACCGTGGCAGGATTTTTTATACTCATCTATCTGAACAGTAGCAAATTTAGCTGTTTTACCCTTCAAATTTCTTGTTTAAGACAATGAAAGAACATTATTAGTCTATTTGTTATACTTTATGATTCCTATCCTGATTATTAATTTCATGGAGTTACGACATTGGCGGCAAAACCCTTTTAATTTAAAGGCATATAAATTAAATAATGAACTAAATTTTTAAATAACATTTATTATTACTAACAAATTATGAAAATAAGTTGGCATCCTAAGGTCTTGTTCACTCGATTGACAGTGCCTGCCAGCCTTTTTCCATTTATCGGGCAAAGCCAGCCTTTTATCTTACACACAGGGATGCTGATGTCTTACAGGATCATCCATCCTTACCGGGCAGTAAATGGTCAGTCTAACAGGCTGAACCATAGGTGATGATTTCACTCTGTTTTGCCTGAACAATGGGCATTAGGACAGTGCTTTTCAGGCAATACATTATTATGTGGACAGGACTTAACATGAACTAGGACTGAACTGCAAGCTACCCCAACCCAACCAGACCTCAAGCTGATCCAACCCACCCCAGTCCAGAATATTGCCAATGGGACTGATTAATCTGATTGGATGTAGCAGCCTTAAAACACATGCTCAAATTGTCCTATTCATTTTAGTTACATAGTCATATTACAAGGTTTCCATTGTCATTTTCTTTAGCTCTCATGTTTTAATTCAACCAAGAGGGTTTTGTATACCTGGTATAATTGTGTTGTTTTATATCTTCAACTATACCATTATGATTTTCACCAGCTTAAT